TGTAACTGCCTTGCTGCACTGGGATGTGGGCACAATTTGCTTTCCATTGCTGCTTTTCCCATAGAACTGTTGTAGTTCTGTATCCTGTCTTTCATGTTAAAATGGTAATGTCTAAATGACGAGGATATTTGAAACCCCCTGAGAAATCTTAACACTAATTACTTGAAATAAGAAAGGCAGAGGCTTCGTTTCTCTTTGCCTCCCACCCTGATGTTTGGCCAGCAGTACAGGGCTTGCAGACCCCAGCTGAGGCCTGTGGAGACCTTTAACTTGACTTAACTGCAGAGTGGATGAAGCAGTGGGGTTTATTGAAGAATGCTTTTTCCGAAGTTTTTCAGGAATGTCAGGTGAATGTCTTTTGGATGATGGAGGTGGTTGATCCAGCCTGGGGTGAGCTAGATGGCGTCTTCACATCCCTTCCAGCCCTATGTTCTGTGACTTTGGTACCAGTTTGTATCTCTCCACGTCTAGTCTATGTGGGTCTCATGTTGCTATGTCGCTTCTCCTCCAGATGCTTTTGGAAAAGCTGAACGGAACTGTTCCATGTTTGCTTGATACCACAACAATTCCTGCTTTTTTTCCTGCTGATGAGCTGAACATGAAAACCTCCCGTTCAAGTGCTAACTACGGGATGGGTGAGACCATGGCAATTAGCAACGTGAGAGCAGCCAATGGAGAGTCAACACTGCATCCTTACCTTCGCACCTTCTCAACTTACTTCCACAACTTTGTAGAGCAGTGTCTGCAGAGGAACCCAGATTTCAGGTAAAGCCAGGCTGAAGCTGCTCTTTGCAGACCTGCCATAAGAACCTTTCTGGAGCTGCTGCTCCCAGCAGTGTTTGTTTGGAGGCTTTGGTTTTGTTCTTTGCCCCCTCCAACACGCCTCCAAAAGCAGAGCTGTGTGAGGATGGGCTTCATACACTAGGAAGGGAAGTCCAGGTATTACTGTAAACCAAAAACAGTGTTAACACTTGTGATATTTTCCCTATTAGAGTCTGAAGAATTTCATAATTTTTGTAAAATATCACACAAATGCAATGGAGACAAACAATGCTACTGGTTATAAAAGAGAGATTTTCTATAGCAGATACAGAACAGAGGCAAGGTTTTCTTCCATCACTTTCTATTTTTGAACACGGTTTAAGTAGTTTTCATTCCAAAATGTAGAATACAGCACAAAACTAAGCATGAGGCTGAGAGTGAGCCAGTCTGGCAGCTCACTGCTGGAGGGCCCAGGTCCTGCCCTGCCTCTCACTGGTTCTGCTGCACACGAGACACCCCATGAGCTATGAGACCATGAAGTTTTCTGCTGGGTTAGTGAGTTAAACTGGCTCAGAGGGCCTGAGTACTGGAGCTGGTGCAAGGTAGGAGATGGGGAGGACAGAGCTGTGGTGGGAACTGCTTGCCGAACGGCACCTGAGCATCTTGAAAGGACAAGTTAGCTGTCTCGTTTTCCTGTGTGTTCACTTTATTCTTCTAACTCCCTTTTCTAGGCCCAGTGCGGGCGCTCTGCTTAATCATCCCTTTTTCAAGCAGGTAAGAAGTTCATATAATCTGTAAGTAACAGTGGCTTTTATGTAGTAGTTGTCTTGTTATGTTACTGAACCCTACGCTGAGAATGTAGCTGTTGAGTTGCTGAGTTTTCTGTGATGTGAAAGCACCAAGTTTCTAAATTGATGGGCATTTGGTGACTCAGTATAGTCCAGGGTGGTGATTCTGGCATTCTCTTGGGTGGTAGAGGTACTGTTCTCAGTGCATCTCTTCCTAATTTGAACAGAGAATATGAATCTGCCTGTTGCTCATGCAGAAGCTTCCTAGCTACCAGCTATTGCAACTCGAGCTAAGCTTTCACAGCCTAGTTCCCTGCTGAGACAAAACTGAGGTGCTATGTCCCGCCTTGACTGAAGAAGAGGCAGTGGCTCTGCAGCCCCTAAAACTACTTGTTTGGCTTGTTCTTAGCTGAGGGTAAGGGTGATGCTCCCCCATGGTGGGACTTACGTCAGCAGCTCGTGGTGCTTCTGATGTGGCTGGCCGGCCAGCCAGCCAGGGTACACTGTACAGCTAAGGATGTTTCTATGCTCAAAGCTTTTTCTTGACTTGCGATAGCCTGAGAAATAAAGTGTTAATTTTTTTTCCATAACCCTTTTCTCTACGAGGGTTGGGAGAGACTTGGAGACCAAGTGGGCTCAGGAGTGCCAGGCAGTGTCACAGCTGTTGCAGCAGCTCCCTGCCCTATGCACTGCAGCTTCTCCTCCTCGGTGAAGGACCATCAGGGCCAGGGCAGAGGAGTGCTACTGGCATGACTGCTTGTCAAGCAGTTTCTTGTTACACGATGCAAACAACAGTTGAGTTCTCTCCTTTCTCTGCAGATCAAGCGCCGGGCTTCTGAAGCACTCCCTGAGCTTCTGCGCCCCGTCACACCCATCACTAACTTTGAAGGAACACGGCCCCAGGATCCCAGTGGCATTTTTGGGTTGGTATCAAACCTGGAGCAGCTGGATGTGGACGACTGGGAATTCTAGAAAAAACGCCATGGAATACACCTGGTTCTGGAGGAGCTTTTGGACATTGTAATTTATTGGTCCCATTCAAACAAGTTGATGAATGTAACGTAGAGAAGAGTTTACAGGTCCTTGGGAAGGAGCTTCAACCATCTGTTTACTTGGGAAGTAGCCTGGAAACAAATGGAACAGACCCAAGCTGGAAACAGCTCAGCCCCAAGGAACTCCAGTATTCCAGTTGGTGCAGTGCCCAAAGCCCCAGTTCCTGTAGCTGAGCACTGTGAGATCACTAGAAGGAGTTGAGCGAATCTGCTTACTTATGGTCTTGCTCTTCATGCGTTTCGAAAAGTCACTGGCTTCCTAGTATCACTGTTGAAGGCTGCATGTCCCTACCCTCTTTTTGGTCTTTCAAGGGTGCCTTAGAGATAACAAGGGGAGGGAGGCAGCTCTTAGTTTTGGGCATTCTCCTAGAGCTAGTCAGATTATACCAGTGTTGTCACAGGGTAGTGTTGGAGGGGTGGGGGGAAAGGGAATATATTGTTAAATGTAGTCAAGACTTAGTGATGGGAGGTTGAAGAATACCTGGTTCTGTGGTGGGCATGTTCACTGCATCGGGCGTTCCTCTGCAGCACTGGATTCTTCTCTTCCAGTTCTGGAGAGAGCTTTTGGTGACTCTTCATACTTGAGGCTGAACACACTGAACTCCAGGTCAGATAGGGCATTCCAGCCTCTCCTCCTCACCAAAGTGAATAAATCTGTGCAATGCACCAGCTTTTCCTCGCCCACAGCTCCTCTCTAGTTCAGCACCCTGCCAGCTGGGCTCGTTTCACAGCATGAAACACTCATACCAGCTTGTTCTCAGTGACCTGCCTTGGCGTAGAGGAAAACCAGGTTGATTTTTACGCTAAATCCTCTTGTATTCAACTGCTTTCTGGACATTCTGTGCAGGTTTTTTTTTTTTTTTTTTTTTTGTAAATCTTGCTCTTTCGCCTTTCCTGACTGAATGGCAGGTTAAAAGTCCTCTGCTTGCCTCCTGCGTGGTTTCCCTTGATTCATGTTTGTGTGACTCTGCCCTGCTGCTGCAGCAGCTCTCCCCCATTCCATGATACGTTTTTTGGAGGTGTGTTCAAGGTTTTTTTAGTTCGACTTTTCCAAGGACCATGGGTGCTGGAGATGTTTCTACTCTTTCATGAAGCACTGAGAATCCAGTCCTGTATGTGTGGTTGAAGCGAGTAGCGGTGCTGGCAACAGGTCCTTCTTGTGTTTATAAACTGTACTTGAACCCAGATAAAGTTTGTTACTCTAGTTTTTTGCCAAACCAAATAAAATATTTCTGAAGTTTTTTTTTTAAAAGTCTGCTGTTCCTACACAATGATGGAGTAGATTACAGTAATAATACAGCTGTTACAGCTGGTTAGGCAAGCTTATTCTCTTCTGATCTCCTTACTTAAAAGGCTGCTCCTTGCACCTCAGCTGGCAAGGCTGCACAACCTCAGAATATAATAAATATAGTAAAGGTAGTTGCTTTTATATAATGCTGTCCACACTTCTCTCTAAGTCCATTTCTTGGCAGTGCTTTGCATTTATCTGGGCTTTTGATTTAATTACTCTTGCCTAATTATAGCAAATATATCTTTATTTCCTAACATCTTCTTTAAGGCTGTAATTTACCAAAGTTTACATCTCATCAAAATCTACATCTCACTTTCCCACAAGTCTGGACAGGAACTGGCTCCCTGCTCTTTAAAAGCAAAAGCCTTTTACAGAATCACAGCACTACTCCCAGCAGGCAAGTCTTAAGGTTGAGTTTGTGACAGAGGGAGAGGATGGGTTCCTCACATTGGAGGGATGACACCAGAGCAGTGTGATCCACTGAAAACCTGCTCGACTTCACTCCTGAATTCTCCTAGAAACAGTGATGTAGATAAAAAATAGGCAGGAGGGAATACACTCCTATAAGCTCTATAAAATAGCTGCAGAAGGTCAGGGTACTCTTTAATGAATTAGTAGTTTGAGGCTGAAGAAAGAACTTAATGCAAGCTAATATTATCTTCCAGTCCCATGCCTCTATCTCACTACAGGCCTAAATATGATGGATTTAATATACAGGCTAGAAATGACACGCTTTACTAAAGGCAGCTTTATGCTTCCATAGGTAACAGCAGGAAACAAGCAGGGAAAGTCCATAACCAGGAGTGAAAGGGCAGCACCATGGTCAAGGGGCAGGAAAAAAAGCTGTGAAGGAACTGATTGAAACAGGTCTTCACTGCTCCTGTTCTGCTCACGCAGACAAGTGCATGGGTCCCGGTGGCAGCACAGAGCTGTACACAGACGTGACTCGAAGTCCGACTCACCCATTCAGTCTTGTGCCCTCCTGGAGCAGCGAACAAAGGGTCCAGCTCCAGGCAGGATAGTTTTAGGAGCTGCTGGTTGGATACACAAGCACTGGATACAGCTCCTAAGCCCAAGGCAACTGCTGCAAGCAGTGCAGGGTGGTTTTTTTTCTCCCCAGGAAACTTTATTCATATAGATACAAAACAGGGTGTTTTGCTATTATGGATCATCTGCGTGGTCTGAATGATCTGACTCCTCCTCCTCTCCCTTGTGCTTTTCCAGTTTTGCCATAAGCTCTGAAAAACAGGAAGAGCAGGCATGAAACTCCAGGTGGAGAGGGGCATTCAACAGCAAAGCAAGCTCTTCAGCATCTGTAAATACCCATCATCTCTTCCAAAACGAAAGCAGGTGACTTCTGGTAGCTGCCAAAAGGCTTCACTAGGAGCTGCCGCTCACTGAGCCCGGAGATGCAGCTACTGCAGTCAGTCTGTCAGTGCATTACTGACCTGCCACGTAGAGCGTCCAAGAAGCTACTGCCTTCCCTCCCCTAGCATGTGCCTCTTCCCTCACTAAAACCGATTATCCCAGAACTCTCCATCTGAGCAAGCACAAACACCCCTTTTATACTTCCAAAACCTCTCAGTGCAGGGTTTAAGGTCTCCAGGCACTAGAAATTGTGCCTGTAGCTAGGCTGAACATGATGAGGTTGCAGACATGAGGAGCTGGTGCCGTTTCTGCTCCAGCTGCTCCTACTGGAAAGCTTCTCTCCTGCAGGAGAGGATTACCTTTTGCTGGGTTGAAGACACCATTGGTTTGCTTGTCACACACGTAGCAGCGCTGGGATTTGCGGTAGTGCTGGAGGGCACAGCTCTCACAGAAGTAGTGCCTGCACCTGCAAGGAGACAGATGCTATTGCAGGTCACCAGATAAAAATCACTATCCAAGAGCATAACTGACCTGGGAGTGACTAGCAATGGATAACAGAGGCCAAGACCTCACCTACCAGAAGAGCCCAACCAGGTTCCACCCACCAGCCTGTAACTACTGACTGTGTTTGCCTTAGATACTGAGCAACCAGTGGACTCAATCCACCGCGGACCTTTAGTTCTCAACCACTTACTTGGTGACCACAGGGTTCTTGAAGGAACTTCTGCAGATGAAGCATTTGAAGGGCATGTCTTCCTCATCACTGCTCACCTCATAGTTTTCCTCCTCTGCACAAGGAAAAGTTAACCAGACTGGAGCAAAAGTAGAGGTACCCTGGCATGCTAATGCATGGGGCATGAAATGTTAGACATGGGGTGAGAACCCGTGGGATTGAATTTCTGCTGGAAACAATAGAGCTCTGGCATCTGGGTGTCACAGATGTCAGTAGCACGCGTGGGACTGAGATATAATTAGGTCTAATGAGCCATCGTGCTTGTTGCTCATCTCACAGGAGAAAATTCTTTTCTGCTTCGCCTACTCACTGCTATAAACAGACATTTCCTCCAGCCCCTTCCTATTTTTCCTCTAGATTATTATTCCCCAAAGCAGATGCTGCCAAACTCTTTGGCTCCCACTGAACAGAAAACACCCCCTTTCCCTCAACTATGCAGGGGCTCCCAAGCAACACTCAGCTGCAGCCTTGGGCTGGAGGCAGAAGATAGTCACAACTGCTTGACACCTCACCACGCACTAACAGAGGTCTATATTCTTTATAGAAGGCAAGAGCAAAGAATTCGCCCTGGTGGCAGTCCATGGTTACTTGAAAACAGTACATTTGCTCAGCACACTCAGCAGTATAATCCCACAGCAGGGATTTCTGCAACTCTGTGGGACACAGAGAACTTTGTCTAATATTAATTCATTGGTGGCCCACACAGTTTGAGGCGGCAAAGGACCCATTTCCTTCTCCCCAACCGAGCATCCCAGTAAGTCACGTCTGCTCTAGAACATGAGAGAGGGTCAGACTTTGCAGCCCCCCGCCGACGTTAGCCCAGTGAGAGAAGAGGGCTGGGGTTGTACCATTGACTCCGTATCGGCCTTCATCCAATTCCCGTTCAATCTGCCAGCCGTGTTTGTAGTCTGAGCGATCATGGAGGAATTTGCAGCTGTCTGAGCAACACAAAGGAAGAAGAGTTAACACTTTTTTTCTCCTTCAGCTAGGTCTATTGCCTAGTTGTTTACAGGCCACCTCATTTAGAGGCAGCCCAAGCTTTAGCCAATACAAGGTGAAGCCCAACTGCTTTCCCAACCATCTCAGCTGCAGGGCAGTGCCAAGCAATGCCCCTGCCCGGCATTTACAGATCCCACATGTGCTCTGTATGCCACGGCAGCAGCTCCATGAGTTACACATGAGAAGAGAGCTACAAACTGCAGCAGAATAAGCTACAGGAAATCCCACTCCTTCACTTGCAGGACAGCCTGTAGGACTGTGGCTCACTGGAACATCCCAGAGATCACTCCCAGGACTCTCATACCCACTGGTTAGGGGCCATCAATCTTTAGAAAAGGCAATGTAAATACCAAAGCCATATATGAAAAGGCTTTGCAACAACATCCCCAAGTAAGCCCACGTCTCCACGAATCAGTAACTGAACATCTTGGTACCACAAACATGGGACCACAGGCTGGACACTCATTCCTTCTGCATCATCTGGTGCAGCATGTGGTCCGTCACAGGCAAGATCCACTCACCTCCAAAGCCACAAAACCCCGTTTCCTTGTAGTCCTTGCAGATGTCAGGCTGGTAGTCCCATCGCACCGTGGCCCGCAAGTGCTCCGGAGCCCGGATGGGTCCTTTTCTGAAAGGGTGGGAGAAGGCTCAGGCCGGGCGCGCAGCTGCAGTGGAGAAGGCCCCTGGGGGCCTGGTCAGAACCAGACACCGGACTCGTTAGACAGAAACGAAACGGTAATAACAGCAGAGCTCAAGCCCCAGTGAGGTGCCCTTGGTGCCTGAGCTCCTCTGCGGGTCCCATTTCTCCGACGCTCATCCCAACCTACCTGACCATTCCTGAAGAGGCATTGCCCATTGACGTGTCCTTGGGCTTCACATACTTCTGGTAGTTGTTAATACCACGGTAAATTTTATCATCTTCCTTCCCTCTCAGCTCCTAGGAAGGTGATTAAGGATCAAGCAACTCGGGTCACATCACAGATAAGCTTTCAATTCTCTGTCCCCAGTCTCCTTTCCCAGCTCTGTCTTCCTTAACACCAAGGGGCCGGGAAGGCCACAAATTTCCCCTATTTACAAGGTAAACACTTGTTGCCTCTCAAACTGCCACGGAGGAAGATCTCCTCGTGACCACATCTCAAGACTTTTTGGTGCTCCTGAGATCAGAGATGGCAGAGGCCTCATTCCCCACCCCAGTCACAGCATGCACAGCTCTTACTCCTGGCACTTAGGGTTTGTAACTCACCTCTAGTCACAGATCTCCCTTAAGGACAGACCCTTGGAAACCCAGCAGGGTCCAAGAGATAAACTGACTGGACTATTAAATCCCAGGGCTCTTTCTCATCACCTGCTTCTTCCAAAGATACCCCACATGCCCTGGAGCTGCGCAACAGATCCACAAGACTCGAATGCTTCTTGAAAAGCAGGAGAAAGGGATGGTTAGAGCACACACACCCCTGCTGCGGAGCACTGGCTGTTACACAGTGGTGCCAACTGACCTCCTGGATTTTCTGGCTGCGCTCGAAGATGGCCTGGGCATCTTTATCCTTCTCTGTGTCCAGTTCATACACTGCTGTGGCCCCCATGTCTTCTGGACCAACAGGTTTCTAAAAAGTGAGAAGGACACGTGACAACAGTGAAGAGAAAACCTGTAAAGGATGAAGAGCTCCCCGATTACTTGGAAGATCAGTCACAGAGCAAGAAGTGTCCATGCACAGGACGCCGCCTCCTTGACCTTCCATCACTTTCCACCTTCTCATAGCACTTGCCTGAGAGCCCCTCCCATGGGACTGTCATATCCAGCCTAGTTTTTGCAGAGAACGGAATGCTGATTACTGCTGGCTCCCAAACTTAGCCTGCAAAGGAGGCAGGGGGAAAACCCCTGGCTTCTTTTTCTCCTTTGAGCTCAGCTTTGGCTTAGCTGGAAACTGAACTTGGATGTCCGACGTCTAAAGTTGTGATCACGAGACCATCCAGCCACACACAGGATGTCACGGCTAGATTTCTAACCCAGCTGTGGGCAGTCAGTTTTAGTGAGTGCAATGATCTGGTTTAGTTTCCTCCCAAATGCTTTGAATTGGTGGGCACCTATTCCCAGGTTTTGTAAGATCTTCTGCAACAGCTGCTCAGGAACTAAAGAACAATTCCAAGCAATCTCAATTTAAAGCCAAATCCAGATTACGTGCCAAAAGCTCCTAAGGCCCCAAAGCCCCCATCTGCTCCTGCACCCTTCTGTTACAGCAAGCAGTGCTGAGAGCGCTGTGCCCTCCTTGGCAGCAAAACCAACTTGCTTATGGAGAAAGGAGAAGGAGCATCAATATCTGCAGTGAATCTCCCTGTTCTGTGGATCAGCGCAGCAGCAGCCTGCCCTGCGTGATGTGGCGCATCCTGGTCACATCCCTGCCCAGTCCTTACCGCCGACCTTGTCGACTTGTACGTGACCCCAATCTCCTTGGAGGGATCCTCCTCGTCGCTGCTGCTCAGCGTGTACGTGGGCCGCTCCTTGGCGCTCCTGCGGGTCTGCGGAGCAAGACAGGGGCAGGCG